CTTGCAGGCTCACTGTACTATGTCACCTTCATTGATGATTCTACAAGGAAGGTATGGGTCTATTTTCTAAAGAAAAAATTAGAAGTCTTTGATACCTTCAGAAAATGGAAGGCCATGGTAGAAAATGAAACTGGTTTGAAGATAAAGAAGTTGAGGTCAGACAATGGAGGAGAGTACAAAGACAGTAGATTCAAAGAGTTTTGCGCAAACAGCGGGATCAAGATGGAGAAAACAGTTCCCATGACACCGCAGCAGAATGGCGTAGCGGAGCGCATGAACAGAACTTTGAATGAACGTGCCAGAAGCATGAGGATACATGCCGGACTGCCCAAGTTCCTATGGGCTGAAGCTATCAATACCGCAGCCTACCTAATCAACCGCGGACCCTCAGTTCCCTTGGATGGTGGAATACCGGAAGAAGCTTGGAGCAAAAAAGAGGTAAACCTTTCACATTTAAGAATTTTTGGTTGTATCTCTTATGTACACATAGATTCTGCTGAAAGAAGTAAACTTGATGCCAAATCTAACAAATGTGTTTTTGTTGGTTATGGTGGTGATGAGTTTGGTTACCGATTTTGGGATCATGAAAATCGGAAGATCATTAGAAGCAGAGATGTCATATTCAATGAGAATGTGATGTACAAAGACAGATCAACTGCAGAATCAAGTAGCTCCAGTACAAAAGCTGAAACAAAGGAATTTGCTGAATTTGAGGAGATTTCTGAAAAAGATGTTCAGACTAGCCCTGAAGCAATTCAAGAAGAACCAAGCACGCCAGAAGTGAGACGCTCCTCCAGAATTCCTAAGCCAACCCAGCGTTATTCGCCTTCTTTGCACTACCTGTTGCTGACTGACAGTGGTGAACCGGAGTGTTATGACGAAGCAATACAGGTGAAGGATTCAGTCAAGTGGGAGTCTGCTATGCAAGATGAGATGGACTCACTCATGTCAAATCAGACGTGGGACTTAGCTGAATTACCACCAGGTAAGAAAGCTCTGCATAACAAATGGATCTACAGGATCAAAGAAGAGCATGATGGGAACAAGCGCTACAAGGCAAGATTGGTTGTCAAAGGCTTTCAGCAAAAGGAAGGTATCGACTACAATGAAATTTTTTCTCCGGTTGTGAAACTAACTACAATCAGATTAGTGTTGAAAATTGTAGCTGCTGAGAATTTACATCTTGAGCAGTTAGATGTAAAAACAGCTTTCCTTCATGGTGATTTGGAAGAGGAGATCTATATGAAGCAACCAGAAGGCTTCATGAAGGCAGGCAAGGAAAATCTAGTATGCCGTTTGAAGAAGAGCTTGTATGGATTGAAACAAGCTCCCAGACAGTGGTACAAGAAGTTTGACAACTTCATGGGCAGCAACGGTTTCACTAGATGCCAAGCAGATCATTGTTGCTATATCAAGAGGTTTGACAATAGCTTCATTATTTTATTGTTATACGTTGATGACATGCTCGTTGCAGGATCAGATCTGCAAGAGATTATAAATTTGAAGCAAAAATTGTC